CACTTCCACATCTTTTCGAAACTCTTTCCCAAGCTGTGATTGTTGTGCGTAAGACGTAAAGTGAGAATTCACAACTTTGCGCACATCATTTCGAACCCTGTTGAATGAATCTAATTTATAGAGCCGCTAGGTATCACACAAATGCAGATGGAAGTGCCCATTGTTGAATCATGAATGAAGTTGAAAATCGGGTGAAGCTCGTTTGCGCGAGATATACAAGTGTTTGCTGAGTCATGAGCGCGTATGGCACTAGCCGAGCTTCCTCCTGTAGCATCATTTTTGGTTGACTAACGGAACACTCCTTCGCCAACGTTGGGCAGTTTAATGGCTTTGGTTTCCAATCACCGTCCCTTAATTGAAGTATCTCTCCCATTTATCACGCCTCTAAGCGATGTGACTATTTATGCTACTTTTCAGATAAGTTCCCTGTGAGCTCAGTCGCATCAAATATGTATGATGTTAAAATTGCCATTTCGCCAATAATGGCTTGGTCAGAAAGGTCGGTGATAATAAAAATAAAAAATAAAATAGGGCACTGCATTGTTTGTTCAATGTTCGACAGAGACTTGCGCAAGACATCTTATCCTGTTCCAAGTGAAAGTAAGATGTGACCATTCCACATCCGCTTACCCTTCCATTACATAAGTGTTTATTTGGACAATTCAATCCCTTCTGGCTGTTCTGTGCCTCCGTTCAGTAAGCCCCTGTCGCAACACGCCCCCCCCCCCCTCCTACTTCTGAGTTCTGACCCGCGGGGTCAGTAAACAACAATGGCCGCGGGTCTTACCGGCCGTCCGGGCGGCTCGCGGCGGGCGAAAAACGGCCCCGGCCGCTGATCTCGTTCAGATTGCTTTAACGCGCGGCTGCCGCTGTCGGCTCGTGTTGACGCCGGAAACAGGCGACACTGTCGGCAAACGAGCGGCGGCCACCGCAGCTCGCCAAGAGCGCCACCGAGCGGGGGGTCGCTCCACGGCGTGACCCGCCCGGAGGCTCCGTTCCCAATCGAACCGGCTGTTTACCGTGTCGGCCAAGTTGCCAGGGCCGGAGCTGGGTCTGATTATTGGTTCACAGGGTGGCCATCCGGCGCGTTTTCGGCTGTGATGAACGTCTCCGGACATTCAGTGGTCGGTGAATGGCGCCGGCGCTGTCGATTGTGTCGCTTTATAGAACAGTGTGCGAAGGTGGTAACACGCGAAACGGGCTCAGGTGCGGCTTGGCCGTTTGTCATGTGCGCGGTGCTGTTATTTATATCGATTGATCTAAGCCACTGAACAGGCGTGTGAAGCTGAATCGTCGGTAACTTCAAGTGACCACACATCACATCCAATTTGTTACGTGACGTGCAGGCACATCCCACACTTCACATAGGAAAATCCACCTTACACACACTGTTTTCGACTTCGTTGCCGAGTACGTTTCCACTTCGCTGCGTGTTTTTTGCGACAAAGTACTGCGGTGATAACACGCCGGCCATTTTCGCCAGTTAGCCAAATTCGGGCATATTGTGTGCTAGGATGGACTAACCGTGCAGAATAATTCAAAAGTCCACAGTTGCCAATATGAATCGCCGCTCCTCTGAGCCATCGAGTTTTAACTGTCACTGTAGCGCCGTCAAATCCTATATAAATTGTTTGCAAAGCAGCCGAAGGGTCAAGGTTCAGCTAAACGGATGAACCTAAGATGTGTACACAACCCGCAATTTCGTCAAAGCTTGTCTATATGGTTTACAAAAGGAACAGGACCTTCCTTATCCTGTATGACACGGAACAAAAGCAAACACTAAAATAATCATTAAGAGGTCTTATGACAGGGCTTGTTAGAATTTGCGCAAAACCACCAAGAATAGACAGTCCTTCTTCGACATCGTCCGGCATCAGGGGCGACGGAATGTCAGAGCGTGAAATGTCAAACACAAATGTCTTTGGTATTGTCAGATGTCACGCAAATTTAGGAACCGAGCAAACCTTATCAGGTTAGCGGATGCACGAATATGCGACACGTTTTGTGCTCACAATTATTTTGAAATGCTCTCGACTCACTCATCGCACTAACGGATGACATGCCCGGAGGCTGGCAGCCTGAAAGGCTTGCATGGTTAGAATAATTGGAAGATAGTGAACGGGATATTTTGAGGTAGTTGATGGATCCAAAATGATGAGTGGCAGTTCACCGTAATAAATAAAAAAGTAATAAAACAGTATACACCAACGCGTGACAGCTCGATGTGCTAGAAAATCCGTGGTAGGCACCCAGTTATCATTTGTGACAATGCCCCGTGCCACTGACCTGATAATTGAAAGCCCCTTGCTTGCAGCTAGGCTCCGTTGCGAGACGAATTGGCAGCAGTCAGCAGTTTGACCGACCTCGTAGTCGCCTCAGACCAAACTGGGAGCCGAGCGACCACCTCTAACATTGAGTGCCTTTTGTCACGTTCCCTCCCCTGTCTCGCACTCCGCGCTGTCACTAACCCATTGGCAGATCAGCACTAACCGCGCCCCGCTACTCTGGATCCAGAGCCGTCGCAAGGCCGTCCGTCCACCGCCCCGGGCAGGGAAAACACTGACCGGCGGCCGGCGGGTCAGTCTAACCCGCAGGGGCCGGCGGACGGAGGAAGGGCCGGCGGGTCAGTCTAGCTGTCAGGGGCCGGATCGGGCCGGACGCTGATTGGTGAATGCAGCTGCAGTGTCGGCCGCATTGGAACCCACGGTGGTGTGAGAGGAAAATTGAGGGCAGCACAAGTATGCGGTGGGAACTGTTACAGACTTCGACTATTGCAACCCAGCACCCAAAATGTTTCATCTCTTCCTACGCCCGTCGATTCTTTATGTACCTAAACGTCAAGAGGAATTGGATGTAATTCTTATGATGCGCGTCAAAATCCTTTCTGTTAAGTAAAATATATTTTGGACTTCTCGAAAAGTACTTTTTTGACAGCATTCAGTGGCCGTGGCGGTAGAATCGCGACACTCACCAGTCGGCTCCATCCGGCCATTTAAAGAGACGAGGGCAGCATATGAGCCAGCTCATTGGTTTGGTTCATCGAACAACAGTTACCATGAATTTCTGGAAGTTTTACGACCGGCTCCCATGCCATTAACTGCGCGGTTTGCATAGAAACGAGGCCATAATAGCTGGGGCATTATCGGAGTGTTTTGCCCCGATCGGGGCGATTAGTGACAAAGATTAAACGCATCAATCACTAATGACGAATTACGCTCAAAAGTCCGTCTCTTTGTTCGGTTTCAGGTCATTGGCTCCAAATATTGGTCATGTGATATAGTGTTAATGTTACCCGTTCGACTACCTTAAAAAGTATCAAAAAGGGCAAAACAGAATCGGAATCAAAGGCTGCTAACGGGACATAGCTTTCATTGTGACTGGTAAATACGCCACAGTTATGCAGCATTAATCCTTATTCCATTCGCACTAAAATTTGAGAAGAAAAGATCACAAGAACTGAAAGGTTGGAACTCCAAGTGACTTCTTAAAGTTTCTAGTAGGGTTGAAAATAGCGATTAAAAGTGCCTCATGCCAAGCAGCATATAAAAGTTTTCAAATAATTGTACAATGTAACATGGGGTGCAAGTGAGGAACGACAAAGATAAAGCCACGGCATACCGTAAAGGTCAGCTAGGACCCTCAACATGATGAAATATCGTATGCAAATTGAGCACTACCGCATTCATATCGGCCCCAATCGACGCGCATTAATCAATGCGCCCACGCTGCTAATGTGGTTTGGGGTGTATCATGGTACAATGCATTGTCAACCGATGTGCATCAATTACATTATCATTTTGGTTTTTAATCAATTTCCCTGCAATTAGAAGTTTTCATTTCGCTCTTAGTTACGTAACTCTCACGACTCACACCAGACGAAGTTATCGACCCCGTGCACTCTCACCACTACCAAAAGCCACAAGTACAACTGACATGCATTTAGACAAACACCAACCACTTCAGTGTAATGTTGAACGTTTATCCTACTCGCAGTTATCATTCAGCCCAATCGTGGATTACACCGCATCCAGCCCCAATCACTCCATTGCTCCTCCAATCACCGTAGCTCGACGCCTCCCAACCCGTCTTGCGCCCCATTCCCCGGTCACAGAGAAGCCGGTGACCCGCCCCTCCCTCCCACGCCTGGCCGTGCTGAGTGTCGCATCAGCACCCGGAGTGACCGATTGGCCAGCCGGCTGTTGGCGTCATCTGGAGCTCCCCCCCCCCCCCCCCCCGGATGACGCACGGTGGACCCCGGTCGTCACTCTCACCAGTCGGACGGTTTATGGGGTCGGACGGTCGTCGGCTTTTTCGCCACTTTGGAGTGGATGATCTGTCCAAAAGTGTGACGAGGAGGTAGAGTCAGCCTTCCCCGACGATTGGAGGACATTTGTGATCGGTGTCTAACGGGTCGGGTGGACTGAAACGTGTTTGACGGTAGCGCCGTTGCTAACAACGAACGGATCATTTCCTGTGTGTACTGTTGAAGAGAACACCACTAACAAGAGGTCGTTTTGCTGTGCGTCAGCGCTCAAACCCGATATATAGTCAAAGCGAGCAGAGAGGGCACGGTTTCGTTGAATGATACCGAGCATGAAAGGCGTGGGATGCTCTCCAGTAGCGCACCTCTCTTCTTGCGGTAAAGCCTGAAGAAACGAAGTAGCGAGTGAATACGATGCTCCTCAGAGTGCACCGGATGTTAGAAAACGTCCAATGGGTTGAAAGGCATGCCTAGAGGGATGAATGGATGAGTCAAGAAAATAATTCGTTTATTATTGTCAGTTTAGAAGTTCTTTGTAGGCGGTCAGTACATACTAACTACACGGAAAGACACAGTGTATCAGGACTCTGAGAATACCTTGCAACTGCGTATTTTATCAAAAGGTTTCATTTCATTCGAAATCATAACAAGCGCATGCGTCCTGAATGCATTCAACTTGACTGTAAGTCACTTCAATGGGTTGGGAGCGACGCCTGTATGTACCATACACCAGTCATTCTAGCGCAAAATACCATTTTATTGACACAATTCACGAGAAAATAGTAATAATTACCCGCTTCACGAGAAGACAAATAATGACAGACCTAACAGCGAGTCAAGATCAAAGTCACAGCCATCTAAAAGGAATGTTACACATTGGCACAAGTCCAATACCTCGATATTCAGGCTTACGAGTTACGACGCCACAAGACATTCTGTCAATTGTCCAAACAACCATCCTGTCCAAACGTCAACTCACACACTTGTTTCACAACATAAAATCGTTCAAATTACCACTCAACACATGTTCATTATCATCAGCGGGTGTCTCACCGTCCGCGCGCTTACCCGCTCGTGCCAATGGTCACCTCATCAGCGACAGGGGGCAGCGCCGGCGGCGGCGGCGACTGGCGATGCGCGGCGGGCGACTCCTTCGTCTGGTGCGTCTTGGTCCGGTGAATCAGCAGGGAGCGAGCCGTGAGGAAGCTCAGACCGCACTCGGGGCACTCGGTCCGACCTGGGGAGACGGAGAGAAGTGGTGATTACACTGGTTGTGATATACATTGTTTATGCAGGGTGCAACGGGTGCTCAGAGCAACGTTCATCAAGCCATCCGAGAGCAAGAGTCCGAATGAAAAAGGTAAACAAAACAAAATCATGCCTTTCGGAGTGCATGTAGCACATAGACTGATAGAAGGGAAATCCCGGACAGTCGATAGTCTGAAAACAAACAAACTCCACGATACCCAGGAGCTATAAAGTCATCACCAATGACTGTCAGGTGATCCATAAGGAAGATCTAGTTCTCTTTGCTTCGCATTCCCACCCTATTCGCCGACTTGTGGCTTTTTATGCTCCCGGGCCAGCACAACAGGACGAATGAATTACGGGCGCTTGGCGCGCAGGCTGCCAGTTTCATAATGCACTCATAACTTATCCCTCAGAAGACCAGACTAGCCGTCCACACGTACTCAGACAAAACCAGTAAAAACAGCAACAGAGATAACCAGCGAGGAGATCCCACCGACAAGCTGCATTTCTATCCCGGTGGTATGGAAGATGTCTATAGTTGGATAACACCCGCTGGGCTTCACGGTTTGGGATGGCCATTGATCCGATCAGAGGTCAGAGTTTGATGCCCCGCGGGCGACCTGTGCCCGAATCTACATACATCAGAGGCCGACTGATTGGAGCGCTGTTGGACAAATTCCGCCGTCCGCCGGCGCAATCAGGGCCGCTTTGAGAGCCGTGTGCCCCTGTGCGGCTTCTGAGGCGGTTCGGCGCACATGAATGGACGGCGCCGATCGCCTAACGTCGCGGCGGTCACGGTTAACTGATCACAGCCGGCCACCCCGCAAATGGCCGAGGACAGAGCGGCCCGGCGCCGGTAATTCAGACCACAGAGTGATCTATTATCTTAAGCATATTTCTTTATTAAAATTGCTCAGCAGAAGGTGCTATTGATGTTTCAAAGGGCAAATTTCCTACATATAATATTAATTGATTTGCTTTCTTGGCAGACAATACGTGTAGGATGCACTGAAAACAATTTCACGCGAAGCTGGCGAATTAAGCGTTGCTCTGCGGGTGGTATATGTGATCTCGAGATCCCCCTGAGATCTCGAGAACGAAGCAAGATAGCGACAAGCGGTAAACGGCATCGGATACGCACGGACAAGGTCTACAATTTTTACTAAGGTCATTTTCAGGTCAGGTCAAAGATGACGTCACAGGGGTCGAAAAAGTCAAAATGGCGGCGCTAGATATGGAGAGGGGTTTTCTCGAATAACTTTCGAAGTAGTCAAGATAGGAACAAACTAAGGGCATCATCGTGATCCTCTCGTCAATCCGCATCGAATGATATATATGTTGACCTCGAAAGGTCAAGGTCAAAGGTTGACCTCAGGTCACGTGACCTCCAGGTCATCATGTATATCATTCGATGCGTCTTGACGAGCTGAACACAATGAGACCATCCGCGCGGCTGTATCTTGTTCCTGTAAGGAGTTATTGGCAAAAAACCTTTGGTGACCTTTGATGACGTCACATGACCTTACAGCTGCCCGACAGCAAAACAGACCTCAAGGTAGTGAAGGTTGATCGTATGTGAAGTCATGTATGGTATATGGGGCCATTCCGACCCGTTTTAGTGGTAAAAACAGGGAGTTGATTTTTCCCCCATTGACTTATAATGGGGAGGTCGCGAAATTGACCTGACCTTAGGTCACCGACATCAAAATTCCGAGATATACAAATTGTAGCTACTAATGACCTAATAACATCCTGCGACTTTCAAAGGCCTCCGACATCTACTGTAGCTCTGGCACGGTGACAAAGTTGCAAAAAAGTGACTTGAGGTTGGGTCATTCAAAGTGACCTGGTGACCTGACCTTAAAAGTTAGGAGGTTCAAACTTGCACACCATGTGTAAAATTGATGAGAGAATAGTCATACCAAATTTCGCGGCGCTTCCCGCTATCCGCGAAAAACCTCAGGGGGGGGGGGGCGGATATCCGCCCCCCCCCCCCGTCGGTGCGCGGGTTAACTCGCCATGTCCAGATTCTAGCTAGAAGGTAAGCAGACTTGCCTGCCTTATTACTCGTAAATATGCACTGCACCCACAGTCTGCAGTAAGGTAGCTACCCAGCACCGGATATTGTCCCCGCGTGTGTCGAGTCATTGACACAGCCCTCACTGAAAGAGTTGGAACTACTCGAGGTATCGTAAACGCGTATCCGTGGATGGCGAACCTTTACATAACCTGCCCTGAAGGAGTTGGATCTACTGTTACAACTAGATGGCGTTGTCTCATACAGTTTTGAATTACAACAATTTTTCAACTTTTTTTGAACCAATGATATATTGGCATATTGTTTGGCGGTTTCCAAGTGGGGGCGAAAGTACAATTGTTAGGGTGCACGTTTAAAACCTCTGCAATATTCATCACGGGACGATTGGCAACGCTTTTTCTTCCGAAACTACCTAGTGAAACCATTTAGATTCTTATATAGGTCACGAAAGCAGCGGCAACACATCTCCTTGATTTCGGGCGGTCTGCATGACTGCCGGTGGCTGAGTCATGTCGAAATTTCTATGGGAATTCGATTTGACCTTTCCCACCAATGTGAAACTTTCTCATCGATGTTTTCTAGGTGTGAGTGTGCCATAATATAGATCAAGGCCATATAACCAGGTATGGTCATCAGGCTTTTTTTTACCGTCCCCCTACCGGGCCCGAATGACGTCACTGGGATGGTAACTCGCCGGCCGCCGTCCGTAGCCATTATGGAGGACGGACGTTTAAATACGTTTTCAGCGGATTTTAGTGCAGTTTTGATGTCCGATGCAAGGCAGAACGGTGTGATGTTTCCTCAGTGAAGCAAATCAGGACCAGCTGTTACTCGAACCAAAGATTTGGCGACATTATTGGGATCGGACCGAGCCAACGGGCGCCCCGCCGGTGATCCGGCCAGCACATCGGCGGCTCTCTCGTAGATGAAAATCGCCATAGTTTTGCGCCAGGCTTCGGAGTCAATGGATTTCTGGTGACTCTGACTCCAACCGCGACTTCCAAAAACCAACTCCGACTCCGACTCCGGGCTGGGTAATCAACTCCGACCGACTCTAACTCCGACTCCGCAGCCCTGCCAGATCTGCGGAGCGGCCAGGGCTGCGGAGTCGGAGTCGGAGTCGGTCGGAGTCGACAGTTGTGACCGGAGTCGGAGTCGGAGTCGACTTTAGAAACCCGAGCCGGAGTCGGAGTCGGAGTCACCGAAAATATGTCGACTCCGCAGCCCTGCTTGGTCTGCGAGTCGGAGTCGGGAGTTGGAGTCGGTCGGAGTCGACAATTCTGCCCGGAGTCGGAGTCGGAGCTGGTTTTTTTAAGCCGGAGTCGGAGTCGGAGTCGGAGTCGCCGAAAATCCATCGACTCCGCAGCCCTGGCGGAGCCGATGGATTTTCGGTGACCCCGACTCCGACTCGGTTTCCAAAATCGACTCCGAGTCCGGTCAGAACTGTCGACCCTGACTCCGACTCCGCAGCCCTGGTTTTGCGTCTATTTCGCCCCATACTTAAGAGAGGTGTGAACTGCACAAACCGAAATTGTACCGTAACACAAGTATATGTACACATTCCAAACTTCTGACTGGAACGAACCAAATGCGTACACAATATACCGGTTTATGTCATACCATAAATCGTAGTTATAAAAAACCATATTGCACAGATTGGTAGAGGACAAATAAGGCACAAGCCTAATCTCTTGCGACTTGAGTAGGTACAATAAAATGCTCCGAACTGTCGGAAAGTTGTACAAGATGTCGCCTCTCCAAACACAATGTGCCGATTGACTCCGCGACAGCCAGGAACCGGGCAACATAACACGTGAAACAGAGCGGTGGCACCTCAGCACAGGCTCCCCAAGCTCAAGGCGGCGAGAAAGGTCCGGCAAGTCGGTAACAGGTTCACCACGGCAGCGACAGGTCAGGCAGGTCGGCAGCAGATTCATCAGGGCGGTGGCAGGTGCGACAGGTCGGCAGCAGGTTTACCAGGGCGGCGACAGATCCGGCAGGGCGACGGCAGTTTCACCAGGGCGGCAGCGTAGACACGGCGGCAGGTCCGCCGGGGTGGCAGCAGGTCCAGGGCGGCCGCAGGCTCACCAGGGCGGCGACAGGTTCGGCAGGGCGACGGCAGTTTCACCAGGGCGGCAGCGTAGACACGGCGGCAAGTCCCAGGGCGGCTCAGGCTCACCAGGGCGGCGACAGGTCCGGCAGGTCGTCGGCAGGTCGGCCTCAGCAGCAGGCAGTCAGCACTAGCAGATTCTCGGGGCAGCCCTGGCTGAGGTGGGATGTCATCAGAAACTGCACGTCTGGGTGCCGGTGTCGGATGTCGTACAGACCACGCAGCGAGGCTTTACTGCGCAGCACGCCCTGCTGGCAGCGCAGGAGTGTCGGCAGCCCAGCGGGTGCTTTCCGGTCGCCTTCCTCAACTTCCTTTCGGAAACTGGCGCTCGCCACTCAGGGAGTCGGGCGACGTCTCCAAAGCTGGGAGACAGATGCTGAAGTCGATATGATGTGATTTTATGCCCTCAGCTCGGTGCCAGTCATTGTGTTGTTATGTGCAGGTAGCCACTCCTCGCCGTCCTGCACGCCAGAGGACCAGCCCCGGACCTGCAAAACACATTACCAAGTTTATTAACACAATACAACATGAAAAAATTCACTAAGCGATGGCAAGCAAAAATAATCAATGCCCAAAGGTGCCTTTTCTTCGATTGCCTTTTCTATGTGCTGATATGAAGCCTCAAAACATGTACCATTTTATATTATGTATTGATTGCAGGCCTGACTCAGAATTTAGTTGAAACAAGCAAATAACACAATTTTTCATTATCATTTTGAATTTGGGTCTGGCATTACTGTTCCATGCACAGGTGCGTCTGCATATAAAATCATATGAAGCAAATGCATTAGGTAAATAGTCTCAACAAATAGAAATTAGTAGTAGCACAGGTGGTATAAATAGAAACCAATATATAGACATTAGACAAGGATGAGCTTGTTTAGTTAGCAAATGTCAATGACATAACATTTACATAAACAAGAATGGGATTTTCAGCATAGGCGGCGGAACGATTTGAGACAAGGGGGGGCACCAGCTCAAGGAGCCAAACCTAGGGTACCCCCAAATCCTGTTTTCTCATCGGATTTAGGCCACTTTTTTTCGTCACAGCCCTGACACGATAATTTTTTTATTTTTTATTTTTTTTTTACAAAAAGAAAATGGCAGTTCACCCCCGTATGAGTGGTTAACTTTAACCCTCGCCGGTTGATGCACCCCCTAAGGTTTTTCGCGAATAACTCGCGTAAAAAGCGGCCGATCGCGACAAAACTTTCAGTACCCTCGCATTGATCAATTTTACACCTTCCCTGAAAATATCATGACCCTGACCCAAATGACCTTTGACCTGTGACCTCTTTTCTGAGACCATGTTTGGCCGGAATCGCGATTCGGCGTATGTCGACTCGCATTAGCCACGCGTTTGCAAGTTTTTCGTGGTTTCAAACGTTCAAACATGTGATTTGATGTTGCTCCCATGCATTAGGGTGGATGTCAAGGTCACCAGAAGGTCAGGTCAGGTCATTGACCTTCGGTGACCTCGGTTCACTTTTTCGAGTTTTACATGTTTCTAGGCTTGTTTTTGGAGCTGAATTCAAGTTTAGCAACCATTGGACCATTTACGAAGTAGTTTTGGTGCCTTCGTAACATGTTACGAAGCTGTCAGAGGCGGATGACAGGTACTACGAATACCCGTCACGACCCCTACCGGTTGACCTGACCTGACCTGACCCGACCTGGTCTAAACGCTTCACGACATCATCTATGATCAAAACTAACACGATATTCGTGATCAGCACCCCGGAAAACCCCTTAGCAGCCACACTTTACGACTTTCTAACAGGTCCCGATATTCCCGATTTATGGGTCATTGACCTGACCTGGAAGGTCAACCGATGACCTAGGATCTTAAAATTGGGTATCATTGGCTTCCTCTTGTGACGGGCAACACGCTCGTTTTTTCCGCGAAGCTCTAGCTCCATCAGGGGCCAAACGCGAGGGGGGGGTCGTACCCCCCCCCCCCGTGCCGTCGAAGGACTCAAAATGGCCTGTGCCGGCGAGGGTTAAGCTGATCCTCAAGTACCTATGTGTTTGTCTCTTCCTTATTGTCGTTTGATAAGTTCCATTTATCCTACATGTATCAAATTCCCAAGAAGCCATCGCAGTACTAATCAGTGGCGAATCCCAGGGGGGAGGTCACATGGGTCATGACTTAGGGCCTGGGGTCACCACATGCCTGCCAGGAGCACCACAGGCCTGACAGCCGACAGGGGCACCACAGGCCCGCCAGGGGTATCACAGGCCTAGCAGGGGCATCACGGGCCTGTCAGTGGCACCACAGGCCTGTCAAGAGCACCATCGGCCTAGCAAAAGCACTACAGGTCTTCCAGGGGCACCACAGACCTACCAGGGGCACCAGAGGCCTGCCAGGGGCACTATTGGCTTCGCAGGGGAACCACCGGCCTCGCAAGGGCACCATGGACCTGCCAAGGGCACCACAAGCCTGTCGTTGACACTTTAGGATTGTCAGGGGCACCACAAACCTGTCAAGGGCACCTGCGTTCTAACAGGGGCACCACAGGCTCGCCAGGGGCACCACAGACCTGCCAAGGCCCAGGGACATCACAGGCCCAAGGACACCACAGGCCTGTCAGGGGCACCACGGGCCGGTCAGGGACCATGGGCACCTAAGTCATGTCAGGGCCCACCGTAGGCTTGTCAGGGGGCAGGGTAGGTAGGTACCGCAGTCTTTCCAGGGGCACCAGCGGCCTAGCAGGGGCACCAGTCATCACATGACGAACCAAAAATAAGGAAAAAAACTGAAAATAGGGCACCACCAAAATTAAGTGGCCGAAATCCGTTGAGGTTTTAATTTTGAGAATAGGTAGGGGCACCACTTCGATTCTGATGACCCTCGCCTTGGAGTTTTCCCGAATCCGCCACTGGTACTAATACATCAAATTTAAGGGGGGGCACCTTGCTATTGGTGCCCCCCTTGCAGAATTCAAGGGGGGGCACGGTGCCCCGGTGCCCCCCCCCCGTTCCGCCGCCTATGATTTTCAGTACCTAATAAGCATGTCAGAAATCCTTTTAAATTCAATTTTGAAAGTTTAGATACAGATTATAAAATCTGGCAACAACTAATATTGAAAAGAAGTAACAATGAGCTTCAACTTTGCACAAAAGATGTGCCAAAAGTTTGGTGAGAAATCACTTGCGCTGAATTTTGAGACCCGAAAGCCCCTGGGCCCTGACGCATCTGACAGTGAGTGAATTTTTTTCCAGTCTGGGAGGTAAGCATCGATTGATTTGTTATTTGATACTATTTAATTTGACAAATAAGTTGTTATTTTCACAAAGCATTAAGATTTATAGAAGCTAACCACTTCCGATCCGAAACAATTTACAACTATTCCATCTCCATTCTCCTTCTCATTATGTTTTAAACAATGCTAAGGTATGTTACAACTTAATATGAGATTATCATGCTCCCTTTGAAAGCCAAAAATGACAAAAAAGGTTAAACCGGGTTGAACTGAAACGTGGCTGATCTGCCTATGATACTCATGCTTATACAGTTGAATTAATTGAATACCTGAGCTGAACTGCTGAAGCTGGTCATTCTTCATGATCTCTGAGACGACAAGTGTGTGAATGCCACTTATGTATATGCTTTTCCGATCTTCAAACACATAAAAAGTGATATTATTATCAAATAAACAATATTCAAACTCCGTATAACAATACACGCAACGGCTGGAAAACACTGCGCCGGTGCGCCAGAATTGACAGCATCGCCTGAATCTCAGCGACCAATCAGCTTTCGACCATCCCAGTGACGTCACATTGGCAGCATTTGGTAGCAATTTTCCTCCTATGGCCCGGTAAAGGGACGGACCCCCCCTGATATAGATATTTTCCCGCAAATATGGTCAAGCGTGGGAGTTTTTTTTTTTGGCCCTCGTGACTTGGTCGGCGAAGGGTAGGCGTGGAGGGTTACCCCATCTCCTAGGGGTTTGTGGGGCGCTGCTGCCAGGTAGGCGTCGATGAATACCTTTCGATGGAGGGGTCGCGAGCCACTGGTGCGCGAATAGTCGTGGAGGGTTACTACTCTCCAGAGTGAATTGCAAAAGTGTTATGTCCTTAATTGACTCCTGGGAGGGTGGTTAAAAATGGTTGCGGATAGGGGTACCCGCGAGACACCGGTTTACTCGCCAGTTTTGGGTGAAATTGTTTTCAGTGTGGCCGTACTATGGTTGAGTAACAAACGGCTGAGTTGCCAACTTCTACTGACATGCCTCACCCTGCGGGCTGTATACCTACCCGACTGCAATCCGTCGCGCTGACCAGCGCTCGGCTGCCGGTCGCCGGCTGACAGCCTGCCGACAAACAGGACAGCCATTTTACTTCCCATCGCTCCTCTCGGCCGCAATAATGCCACACGTCGGCGCCGCTCTGCAGGCTTTTGTCACGCGCCCGGCGCCGGCAGCGAAGAAAAAATACCGCAGCAGCCGAGGCAGCGTACATTTGCATAGGCATCTGGCCAGCTCCATCGGGGAGAGCGGGACGGAGAAGCGGGAAGGAGGAAGGATGGGTCACCGGGGCCCGCCCCGCGCGGGCGACCCTCCCCGCCGGGTGACGGCGGAAATAATACGGCGACGCGACACGGCGCGCTCGAGACCTAATACCGGCCTCCGGGGACACCGCCCGCCCTCATCCGACAGACAGCTCCCGGAAAACAGCCGACATGAGACCAATGCCGAGACAACACCGCCGGCAAAGTGGCTTCGTTGAAGCAACAGGAGCCAGCTCACGGCCATGAACCGTCGGGCAGTCTTTGGAGCCTCCCGTCCCACTGACCTGACACGGGACCGTCAGTCACGGAGACCGTGTCACGAAACGTTTCCCCGAGCGCCGCGGCGGCCGCCGGCGACCCGCCTTGGTATTTGCCGGCCAACTACATTAGATGACGCCGCCACGCCACGACACAAGACAGAACGTCGATGCCGGCAGCAGGTCGATCCGGCTCGGCCGGCCGGCTCCCCGCGGTGACGAAACGCGCCACAACAGCGCGGTGGTGTGACACCGGCCGCGTGACAGCGCGCGCGGCGTGACGCTCGATGAGATATAACGGCCGTGACGGGAAATGTGACGGTTCGAAACGGCCGCGGCAGCGGTCACGGCAGCTCGCGCCGGGACACGACAGGGGGTGGCGTGTTCGCGGCGACGACACCGCCAATGTCATTTACAGCTTCAATCTTCCACGCAATCTCAGAAACGGTACGATGTTGTGGTGAGTCTTTCAGCTATCAAGTTCAAAAGGGAGAATCCCACCCCAGTTTCTTCACTCAGGGCTAATTCACATAAAGTCATGCTTCATCTCTCTGCGACAACAGCTACTAATTTTGCGACTCTACAATTCATGCACAATTTGCGCGTATGACTACGCAGCAGAAAAAGTCCAACTGGCATTACGGAAGCGGCCTCCAGTGGAAAAACGGTATGATCTGATACGGATCAATGCAGGCAGGATCAGTTACATCATACATGACTGGATCCTTTTGGTATAAGCAACGGACAATGAGTTATTTCTGCGAGAAAAACATCATACAAGGCCGGATTCTTGTGGAATTGGGTCAATAAGTCATTTCTGCGCAAATTCACGCAATGTTGGACTTTCACAATATTCCTGAGCGAATCCAGCCTTAGACAGCAAGCGAATCAAGACAGAAATGCGCGTTGCGAGAAAGCTTAGCAGGAGCAAACTGGCACCAGTGTCAGATCCGTGTTACATTCGTATCAGATCGGTGAGAAGTCAATTGCGGGTCGGTGACCGGTCAATCTTAGACTGGTGTTTGGTCGATGTTCCGTAGACTTAGAATCGATGTCCTATCGACTCTGGGATGGCATCGGGTCAGTAACTCACAGTTTTTGCTTCGTCTCGTGATAGAACAGTGTCACCTTTTGTCGGAACTGCGTCTGTCCTGTGTCCGTGTCAGAACGGTGTAGTGTTGTCATGGAACATGTCAGAGCGAGGACAAGCCAGTGTCAGGACAGCGCGATGTCAGAACCGTGTCTCGTCGGTGTCGGTGTGGTGTCAGGGTCGGTGCCGTTTCCGTGTGGCTCACTATCGGTGTCAGGACTATTCCGTGTCACTGTGTCCCGGACTCACACCGGCCGCCGCGGGCCGCCGACGACGTCACCGTCCGGACGGCACGGTGACCGATGGCGCGCGAAAGGAGCCGGAGCGGCCGTCCGTGTCGCCGGATCGATCACACCGTGTCAGACGGTCACAGCAGGTCGGCGACCGGGTCATAGTAGAGGCAAGGCCGGTCACCGGGCAGAGGGGTGACCACCAGGCGGGGTCGGGTCACTGGAGATTGAAGAAAGCCCGGGGCTGGGCCATCAGGGGCAAGTAGACTGAATAGTTACTTCAGATTGGAGAGGAGAGAGTCGCCCATCTTACTTCAGACAGTTCCATAATAAATTGCGTATGAAAATAGCGACGACACGATCAACGACATTGACCTTAGCCAATGAATAAAGCTACCCTGGAAGGGAAGCCTCTACCCTGCCGTGACGGAACACTCCCCTCCCCTACCACGACGGAGCATCCCCACCCCCCCCCCCCCCCCCCACCGTGACGGAGCGACTGCCAGCATCCCGTGACTACACACCGCCTCTGTATACGCCGTAACGTTTGATGACAGCGCCTCGGGGCCGGGGACCGGCCGTTCGCTCTCATCCACCGCATTTCCATGCAAACGACAGCGACGGGAGAACAATTAGAGGACGACAGGCCGCCTTTTAAACTCGATGACTGCAATGAATCCGTCCCGGCGGCCCGCGATGGCCCCGCGCCGACACATCAGACCGGGCCCGCCGGCGGCGACTGAGACGGAAACGGACAGACGCGGCGCCCTACCAAACAGCGCAAATAACTCCTCGCCACCGCACCGGGTGAGAGGCTTATGAGCCCGCCGAGATTTAATTATTTTATCATCTACTTGTTGATGAAAACAAAGGAAGATCGTTTCTGTGCCGCCGTATTGCGTTGAGAGGCATCCGTATGGAACTGAGTTAACTTTGCAGGAACATAATCAACCAGAAAGTTCTACCGTGAAACTGGAGGTCTAACCAATCTATCAACTGACTCAACCCCTGCAGAAAAGGCACATCCGGAGATTCCCGTAAAGCTCCGCACTCTCTGATACCCCAGAAGATAGACAACGAACCATAAGAAACCAGGTTGTGACAATGACAGGAGCCACAACAAAATGAATGGAGCATGACACATTAGATATCAGTCTGGGCGGCGGCGCACGGCCTGGGCCCGAACTCAAGCGGATAGTACTGCGGAGTCTCGGTACTCACGCGGGTGTTTCCTGCGGATGTGATGCTGCACAGCCTCCAGGTTGGAGAAGAGCTGCTCGCAGCGGCCGCACGCCACCGCCGCGGCGCGCACGTGCGTCGTGCTGAAGTGTTTCCGCAGCGACTCGAGCGACGTGGACTGTCGGCAGGGGGAGGGGGGGGGGGGGCAGCGGTCAGTGATGGGTAGACAGTGAACCCAGTCGGTCAGTGACAGGCAGGCAGTGTACCAGGCGGTCAGTTACGGGTAGGCAGTGACCTGGAAAGATATAGAATCGACGTGTCAGACGGTGACAGGTAAACACGGGTGATGTCCAAAGGAAAAGACGGGTGGCATGCGAGTAGGGAGACGTGTGTCATTATGGGAATTACCTTTAATTATGTACAGAAGCGGAAACGTTATCGCTAACTTTCGCTACACGAGTCATAAAGGCGAGAGAAGTTAGGGAAATTCAGAACGGACAGTTTGATGGACATTATACTCGTCAATGACTCAGCAATAAGTACCTATACTCAGCGCATCATACTCAGCAATAGGCATGCTAATAGCCGTGAGCACTAATCAGCCCAGGTCGGAACACCGTATAAAGCAATAACAGCTTGATAAGATCGGCACACCGCAGGCTGTTTCCAAGTTACGCGGTTAGGTGTCGAATCGACTCCCTTCCATCCCCTACGTTTTTATTGTGAGGTATGACGACCCGTGGGCTTCAGGTAATGGCCGAGAACCGGTCGGAAATAACCCAACAGATAGTTTCGGCTCTTCGACACGAACCAAACCACGCCATTTATCAGCCGAACGGCAGTAGCGTGACACGACAAAATGCGTTTCCCGCTCGAGGCTCGCTGTCAAAAAGACGCTCAGTGGCACAATGAATCACTAACGCACAAGGACGCACTTCCATTATAATGTCCTCATCATGGGTCATAATACCGCCTCCATCGCGCCCGGGACTCAGCCGGGCCCACTTCAGACAGTGCCAATTTGTCCGCTTTTGAATAAAGCGTTCGGCAGAGCGCGCTTCAATGGACGCCGGCCCGACAGCGATACTTCTGAATACGCCCAAACAGGCAGCGAAAAAACAACCGGCGAGGCCCAATTCAAAGCAGACACGGTGCTGAGCGCCGGCGGCGCGGCCGCGGGCGGCCGGGGGCAGAGGTAGCTCTGCCCTGCACCCACAAAGCCGCCATTGAGCGGCGGGTAAGGGCCCACCGACACGGCACTGTCCGGCCGCCGCGAATAAAGATGAGTTCGAGCGGCGCACGTGAGCCGGCGCCGTCGTGACCGACTCGTACCACGTGTCCCGTCGCTGTCGATGACAAACGACGACCACGGACGACGCTGCGCCGCGCCGAAACGGACGCCGGCCACGCGAGCGCCGGCGGCCGGACCCTGCCCATTATCGCGGACCGGTGACGAGCGCACCGAGCGGCGGACAGGTCAGGTCAGCTCTGACCAGTCGATCGCGGACAGGTCAGGTCAGCTCTAACCAGTCGATCGCGGACAGGTCGGGTGCGCCGACCAGTCGATCGCGGACACGACAGGTGCGCCGACCAGTCGATCGTCGCGACCCGGACAGATGTCGACCGAGCCTACTGAATTCTTCGAATGGGCGAGCTTCAAAGGCAGAATTAACGCAGATGCACGCTACCGTGGCAAGACAGACGTGCGGTTTGGAAAACACGCGAAAACGTCTCCTTCTCGCTTGGGACGTTCGCAGTGTTACGTAAGTGTTCAATCGATTGATGCTGTGGGAGTTGCGTAGGTATACCTATAGTTCACATTGATTTCCGCCATCACCCGGACTTAACAATTTGGTTGGATATACTCGACGTCTATTTGTGATGGTATAAATCCTCCGCGCCATATTACAATTGTGGGTGAGATGCCCTTAAGCCCCAATCATAGTCATCATTGGACATAAATCAATAGCTTTCAGTAACATGTGAGTATTTCATCACAATATAGTGGATTAAGAGGTGCTTAACATTTGACTGACCCGAAAATGTGCTAACCAATAATTACAAGCATTCGATGTAAAATTCAATGACAGATAACGGATACAGGCAATGCTGCAGTGCGATGTAAGGCGTATCTACAAACGACTGAAAATTATCATCAGATAGAAAATCACACCATGCCTGTCACGCAAGATCCTTATCTCCAAAGACCTTTTCGCGTCCTCGCATCACTTCATCAAACTGTAAATGAGCCTCAACGTCCTGTCAGACGCATTTTGCATATTCCTTTTATCGGCGTCAAATCCACTCAACCAATACGGCTCGGAAAAAATCTTCGAAAGCTCTCTCACACCAGAGCAGCCAGCAGCCGGGGATGGAGGGGGGGGGGGGCTGACACGTCGGAAGGACACGCCGCCCGGCGGCTCGGAGACGCAGTTTATCCGCCGCCACCGCCGCGCGTCGGCAGAGACAAACGGCCGACGAGATGTCGATGACGATCCTGGCGCGTCGCGTTCGCCGCACGCGCCGCCGATATTGCGCCCCGAGCGTCTCTGACAAATGTTCGGTGGGCGCGGGCGGGACACGACGGCTCACCCATGCGGGTCGGTCCGAGTGTGACCCGTCGGGACAGCGGTGGTGCGGGGCGAATGTTCGATTAATTTTTTATGAAATAACCGAAGATTTGTTGTCAATAGTTAAAACGCTATTCGTTAGAATTGTGTTTTCCTATTGAAAAACAAATCTTAACTAGTGTAAATAGAGGATAACAGCTTCGCACGTCCTACCTGGTATTGTACATAAACATCGCATATAATTCAATTAAAAAAATCACGTTACTATTTCGCTTTATAAGAATATGCCACAATTTGTGGCAGCCGGGCCCACAAAGGATGTAGCCCATGGTTTTTGTGACAAAATTGGTCCATGCAACGCTGGATCACTTCAGGCGAGGCGCGTCAAACACAATCACCGAGCCGCCAAGGTACCATCTAGCCACACTACACACTACACACAGCAGTACACACGCTACTCGCTTCAGTCTCGGTTTAAGCGATGAAAACGCAAAGGTCAAGAGTCATCCATTCCAACCTGGGAATTTATGCAGAAATCTAAAGTTAACGTTTGCAGCCTTGGCACGATTCACTGAATTATAAGTTGACCCAATCTATCCTTGTTACGTTTGACAGTTTTGAAAGTATGATACCTGAATTTTCATCAGCCCACATATGATAAAATCCAGAAAATTCCAATGGACATTTCAGAGAGACTCCAAATTAGAATAATTCATTAGAAATTTCACAGAATTAAAGCCAAGTGTTCTCAGAGGCTCGCTGATTTTCAAATGTCAGCGGACGTGAAATATGTCGTTAATACCAGCATCAAACCCCGCAGCGGTCCAGCCAAATCAGCGGGTCGAGGTCGAGGTCGTCAGACGACGTCTATCCATCCGGATAATCCAGCTCTCAGTCCAATAGCTGGGCAAACACCACCACCCCACTCCTGAGTCCTGCGGTTCAGCGCGGCCGGGCAGTCGTTTTCGGCGGCCGGTGAGCAGCGTTAAACTCCCGGCCCCGGACTGGGACGAGCCGCCAACTAACACCATCAATCACCCGCCGTCACGAAGGGCTGAGACCTGACAGCCGGCGCAGGTGCCGTGGGCGGTCCCTAAACCACGTGTCTGCTTAACCCTATTCCTGGCGGGCTCCGCCGGGACAAGAAACTGGCGGGGGGGGGGGGCCGATTCGGCCCCCCCCCCTGAGATCTCGAGAACGAAGCAAGATAACGACAAGCGGTAAACGGCATCGGATACGCATGGACAAGGTCTACAATTTTTACAAGGGCCTTTTCAGGTCAGGTCAAAGATGACGTCACAGGGGTCGAAAAAGTCAAAATGGCGGCGCTAGATATGGAGAGAGTTTTTCTCGAATAACTTTCGAATTAGTCAAGATAGGAACAAACTAAGGGCATCATCGTGATCCTCTCGTCAATCCGCATCGAATGATATATATGTTGACCTCGAAAGGTCAAGGTCAAAGGTTGACCTTAGGTCACGTGACCTCGAGGTCATCATGTATATCATTCGATGCGTCTTGACGAGCTGAACACAATGAGACCATCCACGCTTCTGTATCTTGTTCCTGTACGGAGTTATTGGCCAAAAATCTTTGGTGACCTTTGATGACGTCACATGACCTCACAGCTGCCCAACAGCAAAACAGACCTCAAGGTAGTGAAGGTTGATCGTATATGAAGTCATGTATGGTATATGGGGCCATTCCGACCCGTTTTAGTGGTAAAAACAGGGAGTTGATTTTTCCCCCATTGACTTATAATGGGGAGGTCGCGAAATTGACCTGACCTTAGGTCACCGATATCAAAATTCCGAGATATACAAATTGCACATACTGGTACCCTAACTAAAGCCTGAAGAGAAGAAATTGATCGGTCAAAAACTCTAGCTCTGGCGTGATTGCAAACTTTTCTGAGGTAGGGCCACCAAACCGCCTCTGGTGACCTGACCTGAGGTCAGATCAACTCAAAATTTTCAGACATATTGCGTAGAAGCCTTATAGGAAAAGTCAGAAAATTTGAGCTTCCTAGCTCAACGCGTTTGGGAGAAATAACCAAAAAACCTCAGGGGGGGGGGGCTCCTGAGGCCCCCCCCGCCAGGAATAGGGTTAATGAGCCGAGTTCATCGGGTGCTGAACTCGGCCGTAATACTTTCACAGCCACCAGGGACCGGTGCGTACCCCAGCCTGACCGTGAACGGTAAAATCGCACCGAGACACCAGCCTCCGGACGGCAGAACTCGACACCACCGACGCTTTCTCCGCGAAATTGCGGTGAAAAGTCACTGAGCTGTCATGGAGGAATGCGGCCGCCCACTGAACGCAATATTGTGCAGGCGAACCGGCGTGAAACCGATCAGCTCTGCCTGATGGGAGGTGTCGGCAGCACGCGTCCGGCACTGACAGACATTCGTATGCTGCTGTGTCAGAGAGGCGGCAACATGGGCCAGCCTTCACGCTCCATGAAATCGGCCCGTATTCGGCGCAGACGGAATGGCCGACAATCCGGTCTGGCGGAGGATTGTGGCGTCGCTATGCCTGCGGTACTGAACAGTGAACTTTAGAGGTCACACGACCTGGAGCATTGACGCGCTATTAACCCCCAGTGGAA